CTGTTAATCTCTTTTTATCTATTACCACTGAATATTTGTACATGAATATCTCTACATTTTTCTGTGAACATAGATTTAAGACAAATTTCTAGTAAACACTGGTCACAAGAAGATCCACCTAAAAATCTCAGAGTTGTTAATACAACTTCCCATTCATGTAGGTGGAGTTAATTCACACATAGTCCCAATTGTGCTCAAGGAAACATTTCTCTATACTATTGACAAAATGATTTATATTCTTAGATTTGGTGACTAAAAATAGTATTTTTTGGTAAAATTTTCAGGAATGAGTGGGACAGAACAAATTTTTACATATACCACAGACATTTATTTTCTCTATAGACTGCCTCATTATATCCTTTGTTCACTTTTCTACTGTCTTAGTTATTTGTATGAAGTTGTTCTATTTCATTTAAGCTATCAAATGTAGATTTATGTAGTTGTTTGTTCTATTTGTTTTTTCTATTTAACAATTGTTCCTTTGATCCTTTGATGATTGTATTGTCCATATGTTATTTTTGGCCAGTGTTGCTAGAGATTTGTCAATCTTGTTAAGTTTTTTAAAGAAACATCTACTGGTTTTATTGCTATTCTCTGTTGTTTTTCTGCTTTCGATTTATTGATTATTTTAAAATAATTATTATTTTCTTATTCCTGCTTGATTTAGGTTTACTTTGCTATTTTTTTCTCTGAATTAAGAAACTAGGCTTAGGGTACTGATTTTAGACTATTCCTTTTTTCTAATATTTTCATTGCTTGCATATACCCTACAAAAACTGACATGTGGTATAATCATCTAAGATATATTTATTTCAATATATCTTATTTCTCTACATACTTCTTTAGCCATGGATTATTTAGTCATGTGTTATTTTACTGACTAGTGTGTATAGATTTTGCTGTTATTTTTATCCTATTGATTTCTAATTTGATTTTGTTGTAGTTGGAAAACATGCTCTAGGTGATTTCAATTCTTTCAAATTTGTTGCGGTTTATGACCCAGGATATAATCTATTCCAGTATGTGTTCTTTGGGCATTCTAAAGCAATATCTATTGTGTTGTTTTTGGGTGAAGTGTTCAATAACTATTGATTATATATTATTTTGTTGATGGTGCCGAGTTCTTCTATATGACAGAAATATTGTATACTTGTTTTATCAATTGTTGAAAGACAGTTTTCAAGTCGCCAAATATTTGCACTTGTCTATGTTTTCAGGTCTACCTTTTTTTTGCTTCAAATATTTTGCAGTGCTCAAGTACTGTGCTTAAACATTTAGGATTAAGCATTTTAACATTATATAAAATACCCTTATGTCACCTAACTTTATTAGTCTGAACCCTATGATATTAATATGATTCCTTGCTTTTATTGCTTAGTGTCTGACATTTATTTTACACACTTTCACTTCAAACTATCACTGAAGTGAGTTTTTTTATAAAGAGTTTAGTCCTATGTTAAAATCTACTATACCTATCTTTTTAAAAATTGATGCACTTAGACTATTAACATTTAAATATAATTAATATATTAAGTCTAAATTCTGTTATTTTCCCCTCCTTTTTAAAGTTTCTATTTTACCTATCCTGCTTTCTCAAGGATTTCCTGACACTTTTTTAAATTTGCATTTATCATTGTGCTTCGATTATATCTCTTCATGTAGTTCTTAATTGTTATCTAGTTATCTCATTATATATGCATAACTCTTCAAAATCTACTTCTGACATTTAACAGTTTGCATAAAGTGAACAACTTGTGTATGGGGATGTAGCTGAGCACTTGCCTTGCGCACATGAAATCTTGAGTTCAATCACTACCACTGCCAAAAAAAGAAAAAAGAAAAAAATGCATATAAAGTGTAAAAACTTGACTCTTGCCACAATGTTTCCTTTTCTTTAAATGTTTCTCTTACATACATTTTGGACCACTAACAAAGTGTTAGATTTTATTTGTTTGTTTTGAAAGTCAAACAACATTTAGAAAGTTCAAGAAAAATAATCTTAAAATATTTAGCAATAGCTTTATTTGAGGTTTTCTTTCTTCTATCTTTATATGGCTAGATTCGTTTCTGTTTGTTTGTTTTGTTTTGTTTTTTGTTTTGTTTTGCTTTTAGCCACACCCAGTGATGTGCAGGGACTACTTCTTGCTCTGCACTCAGGAATTATTCTGAGACCATACGGGATGCTGGGCAACAAACCTGATTCAGTCCAATGCAAGACAAATGCTCTGATCTCTGTATTATCTCCTCAGCATCTGTCACTGTCACTGTCCTCCCATCGTTCATCGATTTGCTCAAGTGGGCCCAGTAATGTCTCCATTGTAATGAGTGTTACTGTGTTGGGCATATTGAATACGTCAGGGGTAACTTGCCAGGCTTTGTTGCGCAGGCAATATACTCTTGGTAGCTCGCTGGGCTCTCCAGAGGGGTGGAGGAATCGAACTCGGGTCGACCCTGTTGGCTGTGTGCAAAGCAAACACCCCAGCATCTAAATTCTTTTTTAATTTTATTATTTCCATTCTGTTTAGAGTAAACTTTCCTGACATTCATTTAGAATATATATATATACATATATATATATATATATATATATATATATATCTAAAGGCAATGAATTCTCTTAGTTTTCCTTCAAATTAAATCTTAATTTTCCCCCTTCATTCTTGAAAGATATATTTACTGGAAGTGGAATTCCAGGTAGGCAATTCTTTTCTTTCAGCATGAAATAAGTCATGTAATGTCCTGCTCTCCATAGTTTTCTCATTAGAAAAGAATCTGCAGTTATTCAAAGTACCTCTCCCCAAACACCACTGTTGAATTTTTATCCTGCTGCTTTCAAGACATTTTATTCATCTTTAATTTTCAAAAGCTTGAACATAGTTAAATATATAGGTGTGAATTTTAAAAAATTTACTATATTTAGGGGTGGAGAAATAGTACTATGGGTAGGGCATTTACCATACATGAAGCCAGTCTAGGTTAGATCCCTAACACCTCACATTGTCCCCTGAGCACATCAGGAGTGATTCCTGAGCACAGAGTCATGAGTAAGCCCTGAACACTAATGGGTGTGGCCTCCAAATAAACAAAAATTATTATATTTAGAATGTTTATCTTCTTGGTTTATGTGTTGCTAAATTGTAGACGTTTTGGGAAATTTTTTTCTAGATTTTTTTTTTGGCCCATATTCTTATTTTCTTATTCTGTGATTCATCCATGTTTACATGGATTTTAGATTTTTTTTGTCATGTTTCTATAAGTCTCTAAGAGTTTGTTAGTTTTCGTTTTTTCGGTCTACTTTCCCTTTATTTCTCAGGCTTGATAATTTTTATTGTCCTTTGTTCAAGTTAATTGTTTTTTTTCCTTCTGACAACCCCATTTCTGCTATTGAGCTCATCTATGGAGTTGCTTGATTTTTAATTAAGATTTCAATTAGTTTTTTCATTAGTTTTTTACCTTCTATTTTTTGATACTTTATATTTTTTTCTTGACTTTAATTCTTCTTTATGTTTCCATTGTGCTTATAATTAAACAGCTTTTGGCATGTTGAAACAGTTGTATTATTTTAATGATGATTGATTTAGAATCTTTATCAGATAATTCTAACATGTCTGTCATTTCAGTGTTGCTATTTGCATTTGTTTCCTAGGGTTATATAAATAATTCATCACACTAGATAGCTAAGAACAATAAAAACTTATTTTCTTATAGTTCTGGAGCTAAAGGTCTAAAATTAAGGGATCAGCAGGAGTGATTCCCTCTGAGGACTCTGAGCAAGAATCTGTTCCTTTTCTTTCCTTTAATCTCTCATCACAGCAGGAAGTCCTGGATATTCCAAGACTTGGAGCTATGTCATTACAATATATTCCCCCATCTTTAAATGGCATTCTTGTTATGTCTGTCTCTTTTTTCTCTCCTCCTCTTTGCAAAGAATCCAGTCATATTGTTTAAGGATCCATTCTATTCCAGGATGACCTCCTTAGGTGGAATTACCTCATTCATTCATTCATTCATTCATTCATCCTGTTATTCATCGATTGCCTCGAGCAGGCCCCAGTAACGTTTCTTTCATCCTAGCCCTGAGATTATATTCAAGGCTCTTTAGGAGAATGAGACCCATCATTGTTACTGGTATTTGGCATATTTGGTACGCCATGGGGAGTTTGCCAGACTCTGCCCTGTGGGCAGGCTACATTCGATAGCCTGAAAGTTTGTCCAAAGTAGGAATGAGATAATAAGATGTCATAAAAAGATATCCTGATAAGCGGCCGTGCGGTTCCGAGAGCTGGATTTTATAGTCTCTGAGTCTTGGCCGCTGATGGGATTACATGGCGCCAGGGGGCCAGGTGGTGGGTGTGACCCCGGCCTACTGGAATTTGGAGGATCTGGGTGGAGGATGCTCGACTCCAATCCGACTAGGCTTGGAGATTTCGGCCCCGGAACCCGCGTGGCTTTGTCCCTCTGCCAGTACCTTCATGTGTACAGAGAGTGGTCTCAGCATGGTGGTGGCTGGTCCTGGAGGTCTTCGGCTGCCGGAGCCCTGATCGGGGCAGGGAGGAAAGCTCAACCCGCTCCCCTCCAAGGGCCCCTGGCGAGGAACAGTCAGGCGCAGGGGCAGGAGACTGCACTGTTCTTGTCTGGGAGCTGGATTTTATAGTCTCTGAGTCTTGACTGCTGATGGGATTACAGGGTGCCAGGGGGCCAGGTGGTGGGTGTGACCCTGGCCTACTGGAATTTGGAGGATCTAGGTGGAGGATGCTCGACTCCAATCCAACTAGGCTTGGAGATCTTGGCCCCGGAACCCGCGTGGCTTTGTCCCTCTGCCAGTACCTTCATGTGTGCGGAGAGTGGTCTCAGCATGGTGGTGGCTGGTCCTGGAGGTCTTCGGCTGCCGGAGCCCTGGTCGTGGCGGGGAGGAAAGCTCAATCCGCTCCCCTCCAAGGGTCCCCGGCGAGGAACAGCCTGGCGTGGGGGCAGGGGACTGAACTGTTCTCGTCCGGGAGCTGGAATTACCTCATTTCTGATTTTGTAATAATCAGACAAGCTAGACATTTGTTATAATAAGATCATGCATGTGTGACCCTGACCTGATTCTATATCCACTTAGGTATGGTTTTTGTCCTTTCTGCATAGCCTCAGGTAGTTTTGGTTTATTGGGTTGCTTCTATCACTGTGCTCCCATTCCTCTGTGTTTATTTGTAACTTCTTTCTTTGTGTTCTGTTGACTTGTAAATATTAAATCCTTTGCATAGTTTATTCAGAGCAATGTCCTTTTTGTATGAACACAAGAAGACAGCAAATGCTATGCTTTTGTAACTTGGGAGTTAATTGACTAAATGATATTTTCCTTCTGGGCATCTGTTCTCTTGACCTAAGCCCCAGCTGCCCTTACTTCCTAGCATCCCTTAATGCAGGGTCCCAACAAGGGACTGGATGGAAGCAGGGCAATCAGTAAGCTATGCTCTACCCTGGCATCGAGATGGGCCTGGCCAAAGTACCACAATGCTTAACTAAGTTAAGAGCTTGGTCATGGACAAATGCTTTCATGATTCAAAAAGTAATAACTAGATTTGGACCCTGCTAGGGTTAGGAATGATTAATCTGGCATGAGTGCCATAGTCTGAGTCTGTGGCAAGATGTTTCCAGGAGAGCTGCCCTACAAGCCTCAATGTATCTTTAACTGTGCCCATAAAAAAATAACTAGTATTAAGATGTTGATTGAGTCATTGGACTGAGGAAAGGAGAAAAACACCTTAAGAGGTATTTTGCCCTGGGCAGTCAGGAAGGGCTTTGGAATACCTCTTAGGTGGAGTTCCTTTGAACCTGGTGGGTCCTCAGGAAGGGCTTTCTTATGTTGATTTTGCTAACAGATTGGGTGTAGCATTGGCCATGGGTCCAGAGTGCAAGGTGGAGAGAGATAAGTTGGAGTGGAGAGATGAGTGGGGGAGAGGCAGAATCCAGAGAGCTGGGAGCAAGGAATGAGGGGCTAGGAAAGAAGAGTGCTGATGAGTTGGGGAGAGACTAGAGAGTTGGAGGAGAGGAGAGAAATACCAGGGCAGCGAGATGGAGTGTGGAGAGACTAGCAAGGAGAACAGAGAAAGAAGGATGTAGAAGAGTAATGCAGGAGAAGGCACGTGGAGAGCGGGAGAGACAGGAGGAGAAAGGAATGAGGGGCAGTGTGAAACTACAATGGGGGCACTCAGAGAGACTGGAGCAGGCACATGCGGAGAATGGAATAAATGACATCTGATAAACCAACTGGCTTGGCCCTCGTTTCCTCCTCTGTCTGCCCCATGGCCCAGGCCACCCTGGCTGGGGGAGCGGCCCGGGCTCACCCAAACCTGCACAGCGAGGGGAGAGCCTCCATGGCCTCCCTCGGCCGCCCCCGGAGATTTATACAGGTGACCATGCTCAAGGCTGCTCTCCATAGACTCAGATGAGCCTCACCCAAGAGAGAACCTGCAGAAAAACCCAGGTACACGGGACCCGTGACTGAAATCTCCAGGCTTGCTCAGAGAAGAATTGGGCCTGCTCCTTCTAACTCCCAGGTTTTCTAGTAGCTTGGCAGTCATGCCCACAAACTGCCCCTTGTGCCATATCATCTCATCAGTGACCAAGAAGAGAACGACATAGGCCTTGCCCATGAGTGAATCTGCTCTATAATCATATTCCAAATTTCATGATTCCTGGAGCAACCTCTCATACTCTAGTCAACTGATATACCAAAAGTAGCACACATTTGTTTGGGTATAACATACATACTTGTAATCGCTTATATAAGGGCGTAAATGACTCTAGGATGAAATACAACAATCTTCACACACTTTCCTCTTGTAGTGGGAAGGTGCATGGTGGTGGAATTGGTGTTTAAATATTAAAAGTAATGAATAATTGTCAATAATTTTATAAAAATAAAACAAAAATTAAAAAAAAGAATGCTGGTGATGAAATAAATAAATAAATTCTGTTCTCTGATACCGGGAGTTAGGTATAGTGAGTGTAACTTTAACATATCTTTCCTGGGTGACACAATTAAGCTTATAATGATCTATTTATTAGAATATTGTAAAATCATTTGGGGATCTTTCTGCTTAATAGGTGACTAATTCCAGTTGAAGTCTGTCACTGTCATATTTGGTTATCAATTATACTCTGAGTATTATTTAAACTTTCTTGAATATTTTTATCTGAATCTATCATACTTCAGGAATAAGACCCCAGTGGGATGGGGGGATAGGGGGTGGGAGGGATACTGGGATTTGTGGTGGTGGGAAATGGGCACTGGTGGAGGGATGGGTATTTGATCATTGTATAAATGAAACCCAAGCACAAAAATTTGTAAGTCTACAACTGTACCTCATGGTGTTTCACTAATTAAAAAAAATTCAAAAAGAAAAAAATTAATTCTATAACAAAATACTTTAAGTAAAAGGCCCTCCCGTTGATCGTCGATTTGCTCGAGTGGGCCCAGTAACGTCTCCATTGGAGACTTTGTTGTTACTGTGTCTGGCATATCGAATACTCTCGGTAGCTTGCCGGGCTCTCCGAGAGGGGCGGAGTACTTTAGGAATTAAATATAATTTTGAACTAAATAAAAAAGGAATAAGATCTCACTTGTCTCATCAGTACCTGGTTCCACACTTGGCTGCCATTAACACTGGTATAGAAATAATCTTTACTACTGGTGGGTGTGAAGAATTTCTAGCTCACCACATATAGTTTCCTGTCTATTAGGGACTATAGGAGTACATTAGTATTGCTCCCCAGATAGCTTCCAGTGCATGAAATGTCCTTGTTACTTCCGGATAGTAGTGAAACCCTCACTCGTTGCTTAACCTCTTAATAACAGCATTTCACTGGGGAGAGAAGCCTTATTATTACTTGCTGAGGGATAAAAGTATAGGCTTTATGTTTTGCTTTTGCTATTGTATATTGGGGTAGGTGAAGAAAGTGATTCAACCGTACTTTATTGTGGTATTTTGCTGGATTAAAGCATTTACTATCTAAAAGGTTTTACCTTGCTTGACTGCTCCATTTCTGGTCCTCTGGCTTTAGAGAACAGGATTTTGTTGGACTTTTGCTATCTATATCACTGATGTTTCTATGGAAGTTCCTTCAGCTCTAAGACTATACACATGAGGCAAAAGAAAACCAAGCAATCTCACCCTTGGGTCTTGACATCTCCCCTAAATGATTTGCCTTCTTTGTTCCACCATTAAGAGTTTTATCATTTTTCAAAATTATATATATGTATAAAATGTCCAGAGATTTTAATTGTACATAGCAGGAAAAATAGGCAAAAGGCATCAATTTCACATTTCTTTTTTTTTAATTAATTAATTTATTTATTGAATCACCGTGGGAAAGGTTACAAAGCTTTCAGGTTTAGGTCTCAGTCATGCAAATATCAAGCACATTTCCCTTTACCAAAACTTATTTTTTACCATGAAGAACCCCAATAAAACCCCACCCCCCACCCCTCCCAGTCCCTGTGGGGCAGATGAATTCTAGTTAACACTCTATCTGCTTTGATTAGATTCATTGTTTCAATAAAAGATTCGCACGGCCACGGCCCCAGAAGCACAAGGACTCAATGCAGAACCCGGCAGCTTGGAGCAGAAAAGTGAACGGACTATGCGTTAATCCAGGCCATCATGTCTGTCCGGAGGGGAAAGGGTGTTGCCCCAGTTGCCTTCTCCTCTCTGGAAAGAAAGATGGCGGCCGCATGGGAGCCTTGTGGACAGCAGGTATGAGCCGGGGGACTGGGGTCGACTAAAACCTCATGGGAAGGGGGGCGTTTCGGTCTGCCCTTCACGCCCTACCGAGGCCACCAGTTGCCCCCCACTAGCGGCTCTCCAGCACGGCCACGACTCCAGAGCACAGAAATCAATTTCACATTTCTAAAGGCAAAAATCTGTCAGTTGATTTTTCATAATGTCTTATTATAGTAAATTATGTTAATAGTTTTTGCTAGCATTGAAAAATTCTTGTACTGATGAATAAATCCTTGTTATACATGCCAAATTCTTCTTTTAATGTACTATGAGATTTAATTTGCTAATATCTTATTTAGAACTGTTGTGTCCGTATTTATAAGTGAGTTTGTTCATAGATTTTTGATATGTGTGCACAGACACACACAGTGTGCTGGCTTATTGTCATTTCAGGATTTTGCTTACCTCCCTGAGTGATTTCAGAGGGTCTCCACCATTTTTTCATGCAGCAGAAGAGTTTAAATGACATGAGAGGCACTCATTCCTTGAATGTTTAATAGGTATTCCCCATAAGGCCTTTGACTTCACTGCCTTTTTAGATGGTGGTTTTTGACAATCTAATCAGTTTCTTTTTTGCTTCCCTGATCTTTTCAGATTCTTGTCTTACCCTGAGTCAAATTTAAAATTTTTATTTTCCAAAAAAATCGTTATCTCAGACATATTGGCAACATTACTTTTAGTATCATCTAGCAATATTAAATCTTGCTATCTCTATTCAGTTCTTAAAAACATTTAGTATTATATTTCTTTTTATTTCTTAGCATGCTTGTAAGACAATTATTAATTTTCTCACAATTTTTAAATGACCAGTTTTTAATTTATTTAGTTCTATAAAGATTCATATTTTTGATTCATTTTTTCTGCCTTCAACTACGAAGGTTAAAAGGTAAAGGTAAAAGGTAAAGGTCCTCCCGTTGATTGTCGATTTGCTCGAGCGGGCCCAGTAACGTCTCCATTGGAGACTTTGTTGTTACTGTGTTTGACATATTGAATACTCTCGGTAGCTTGCTGGGCTCTCCGAGAGGGGTGGAGGAATCGAACTCGGGTCGGCCATGTTGGCCGCTTGTAAGGCAAACACCCTAGCGCTGTGCTATCGCTCTCGGAGAGCCCGGCAAGCTACCGAGAGTATTCGATATGCCAGACACAGTAACAACAAAGTCTCCAATGGAGACGTTACTGGGCCCGCTCGAGCAAATCGACGATCAACGGGAGGGCCTGTACCTTTACGAAGGTTAAATCCAAGCTTAAAAAATCTTGTGACTTATATCTAACTTTTAGAACTGATAGTTGAATTGTTTCCTTTTTCTTATTTCATAACAAACATATTTTGGATAATAAGATTTTTCCTTCAGTTGGGCTTA